AATGTGGGGAAAAAGGAATCCTTATACACTGTTGGTGGGAATGCAGACTGGCCCAGCCGCTGTGGAAAACAGGATAGAGGTTTCACAAAGCATTAAACACTGATCTATCATATGATCTAGCAATTTCTCTCCTGATATCTACCTGAAGAATACAAAAACACCATTTTGAAGGGATATATTCAAACCTATATTCATTGCTACACTATTTACAACAGCCAAACTATGGCAACAACCTAAGTGCCCTACGACAGATGAATGGATAAAGATGTGGTATATATACACAGTGGGATGCTACTCAGCTGTAAAATAAAATAGATGAGGGCCTCCCTCCTAGTGCAAGGGTTAAGACGCAACCTATGAAGCTATCCACAGCCACTGCAGCATGAGTTCGGTCCCCGGCCAGGGAGCAACCCACATGGTGCATCAGATCTCTCCTGTCTTGCCTGCTGCTCCCCTCAGCAGTGTATTTCAGTCAGTCTGCCTGTTCTGCTCCCCACTCTATCTCTGGTGAATCCTCTCACCTCCACACCTCTGGCCTGTACCACAGTTCTTGTGTGCATAAATAAATAAATCTTTTAAAAAATAATAAAATTAAAATAAAATAAAATAGTTGAAATTTGCCATTTGTGACAACACTGGTGGAACTGGAGGAGATCGTATGTAGAAGGCAAAGTAAGTCAGAAGGAGAAAAGCATCCAGGATGATCTTACTCCTATGCGGACTATAAAGACACAAACCAAAGGAACAAATCTAAACCAAAACAAACCCTAGATATCTGACTGGAGAACTGAGGCTACCAGAAGGGGCAAAAGGGAGCAGGGGAGCAAGAAGGGGGCCTGATCCCTATGAACTATGGTGGACGATTATTGGAGCTTGGGTGGTGGACGGCATGAGCTAACATACATTTGTAGAGATATGAACCTCTACCCCTAGAAAATATTTTGTGTTGTAAATCAAGATCACCTCAATAAACACAATGTTTAAAAAAGAAAATGTAAAAAATAGTGATTGTTCTAATGGATACATACTATGTGAATATTAAAAGCCATGAATTGCAACCCTTCCGATGAGGTAAAACCCTTTCTATGCCACACTCTTTTCTACAAAGCAAATGGCTGCAAAGAAATGAATTCCCACTAGGTGCACAAGATGATGGGGATGAATCCCATAAACATAATGTGGAGCAAAAGAAGAGTATGATCCCATGTGGAGAAGGTCAAAATCTGGCAAAATTGATTTATATTGCTTGAAAATACAAATTAAATTGCTTGTATGTGTGTATCATAAGTCAGGAGAGTGTTTACCTGTAGGGGAGAGAGAGATAGGATGATGATACCTGTTGCAAGTGAGGAAGAGCAGAAGAAACGGGCTTCGTGTACCAGCCGGGCTCTCCTCCCTGATCTGGCTGTGCTTACATGGAGGTGTGCTTTACACATGTCACTAAAAATTTCTTTTCTGCACATTTATAATTTATTTAATAATAAACAGAGGAAAAACATTTTGATATAATTTTCACATATCTCCTAGGAAAATGTTTATATTCAACATTCTGCATGTGCAACTTTTCTCACTCAATATTCAAGCATGAGTTCCCTGAAATCAATAAATTATTTTCCCAGTTAGCTCTAAAGCCCTATAATATTGCCAAAGAGTATATATTAAAAATGCTTAACTAAAACAGACAATTATAAATCAGAGACACACTGCAGGGGAAGAGGAGGGAGAGGGATCAGAGGGATGGAGGGAGGAGCACAGGGGACTGTGGTGATGGTGCACGGGTGCCTTGGGGAAGGAAATTCTATGGGGACTCAATTTAAGGGGGGTGGGGGGAAGCAAATATTGTCTAAAAAATGTAAAAAATGATAAATGTTAAAATGAAAAAAATGTTTAACTATTTCCTTATTGAGAACATATAGATTGTATTGTTATGCTTTTATTTATAATCTTTCTTGCATCTTCTACTGAGCAGTAATTTTAAAAAATGTGTGAATAAATGAATGAACAAATGCTGTAGTCCATCTGTCATGCTCATCTCTGAAAATGAGTCCCTCCTAGGAAATAGTCTCACAAAGCAGAGACACCAGGATCCCAGCTGGTTTCTGGGCTGTGATTTGGAATAGAGGGTCTCTAAGGTTCTTTCTACTCCTGCAATTCTGGAATTCAGTCACCTGCCCAGTGCCAGAATCCAAGACAGGAAGGAAAATCGATAAGGAAGAGTGAACCTCTTCTCCATACAGAAGAGAGAAGTATTTATTTAAAAGTAACGGAAGCATTCTTGGAAGCCATATTTGTTTTCTGGATGAAAACAAAGGTAATTTTTTCACTCACTTTTCTGGTCACATAGATAAATGAAATGAGCTTCAAGAGAATGACACAAAAACAGAATCTAAACTTTATTGCAAAAAGGAAAGTATTACTAAAATTTGGCAGGGTTACATAATGCAAAAATGCATTTTTCAGTAGTTTGTCTCAGAAAAGCTAGGCCACTAATTGTCCATGGCTCATGGTTTTTTACACTGTGAATTGAGAAAATTTCAAAAAGCTGTGAATTCCCCTGTCCTTTCTTGGAATCAAGAACAAGTAACATTTCTTATTAGAACATAAAACAGTTAAACAGAGTTCACATATGTTCCATAATATTATTTTTTTAAAAAAGACTTCTCTGGAAAAAAACAGACTGTGTAGTACAATGGAAAATTGAAAATTCTCCAATTTCAGGATGAGTCAGCAAATAACTTCTCCATGACAGCGACCTGGGAACCCTGCTGGACAGACATACCTACATTAATGGGAAATCAGCTCTGCTGCCTGGCTTGCTGGAATTGTTGTCATCTGAAGATCTCTGGTTAAGTGATATGTCTCAGTCTTTGCTTGCTGAAATGTATGATGGACAGAGTTTGATACTCCCAAGACAACATTTACCCCAGGGAAGGATTTGCTTTTTGATGAAATGTCATTACATCAGGCTTCCTCATCCCACTCGACCATTCAGTCTTTCTCTCCCACAGGGGACAAGCCCTTTAGCGTGGCTGCCAGTTTTCAATTGGAAATTCTCATATTTGCAGGGAAATGATCAACACCTGGTTCATACCTCTTCAGTTTTTCCTCTTTCCCAAAATTAATTCCTCCTTGCTCCACAGCAATATGTTTTTGCCGAACATTCTACTGCTTCCCAACTTATTCACTCAAAGTAGGGAAATGAAGAAGGCGAAGAGCAGAACAGAGATGGTGAGATCTCTCTTTTCTGCTCTGGGTATCCAAATAATATTTGCATTTCCTGCGTGTCATTTAGGGCCCTCCTGTTTCTGAGAGGGCACTGCCCGCTCCATGTGACCTATTATTCTTTTTTTTTAAAGACTTATCTATTGACGCATACAAGAACTGGGGTAGAGGCCGGGGCGGGGGTGAGAGAATTCCCCAGAGACAGAGTGGGAAACAGAACAGGCAGACTGACTGAAATACACTGCTGAGGGTAGCAGCGGGTGAGACAGGAGAGGTCTGCTGTGCCTTGTGGGTAACTCCCTAGCCGGCCAGGGATCGAACTCATGCTGCAGTGGCTGCAGATAGCTTCTAGATTGCGTCTTAACCTCTTGCACCACCAGGGAGGCCCCATGACCTATTATTCTTTACTGATGGGATGGGTGCCCTCTGTTCCCAATGGAATTGGTCAGAGATATTGAGGACTTCAGAGTTTCTAGATCCTGAGGCAGTGACACCAGTCTATGCATTACCTGTCTTTCCTCCTCACACTGAGTTCATATAGTTGTCTCAAGTCCATGGAGCTCAAATTAATTTTCCTAGGATGAGGACATAAATGGTGGACAATATCTAGTTTTCTACAGTGAAAACAAAAGAGCACTGTCTTTTTCATGAAACGTTTCAATTAACCCTCATGAAGCTCCATGAGGTAGGGACTGACTACATTATGTTTCCTCATAATTTCAATTGTTACTTCAACTTTTCTCCTGAACTATTTATCTTATGGAAAGTCTTAGATTTCCAAAATGAGAAGGAAAAGACACAAAATAACAAAAAATGCAAGGGAAAGGGACTAGTATTCCTAATATACTTGATGTTTACTATGTACTAGATTCTTTCATTAGAGAACAACTCAAGTTGATAATTTTATATGCCCTGTTATCCTTTTTTTTTTTTAAATTTAGAGTATTTCACGATCTTCTAGTTTTCCATGAAGAACCGACTTGTTCTCAGTACTAAAGATTTGCATTTACCAGAGGTTGTTTCTAAAAACAGCAAAAAGGAAATAAAGTTGAGAAGTCCTATTTTGTTTATATCTTTTCTATTAGTGAGAATCATACTCAAGCTGGAAAACCATATTCAAATTTTAAGAATTTTAGTGACTTAACACGTTGTTCATCTAGTCCTGAGAACTTGGAAATAATCACACTTAGATGTGCCCTTGTCTCTTTATCCGTCTTCAGTTTCAGTTCTCTTAGTCAGGATTCTATTTTTCCAGCTTGAGTATAATTCTCACTAGTAGGAAAGGTAAAAATAAAGCAGATCTCGACTTTATTTCCTCATTGTCATCTAGTTTTGTTCAATTTCCTCTTTTCATTTTGATCTTACAAGAGAATTATTCTTAAGCCTCTTCAAAAGCTGCAGCACACACTCACAAGCAGGTTTCCTGACAAGGTCCTTAATATAATTTCATATAATTTTTCATATATGCAAATTATAAAGATGGCTCATTAGCCTATATGCTTAAAGCTACAAAGACTTGGATTGAAAACTGATTAAGTAACACAAGCTAATAATAGAAATTTGGGAAGTATAGAAAATTTAAAAGAACAACTGATAACCACTGATGCCGTTTTAAACCTATTTTTCTATTCCCTCGAAAGGCTTACATAATTATGCTTACTGATATTTGTATGTTTAAAGGTATATCTATGCCTTTAGCATTTTTTTGCTTAAAAAATTTCCCCACCACCATCCCTAAGTTCCCTTTGACCCTCTATCCCTCTCCCCTCTGTTTTATTCTCAGGCTTCACTTTGTCACTGTGTCCACTATTTTTTTGTTTTGTTTTTCCTTTTTACTCAGAGACACTAATCATGAATCATGAGAACTGCAGCCACTTTGTTCTAATCTGCCTTCCTGAAGGAGAAACAGGTAAGGACTATCCTAACTGAACATAGGGTCCACTGTTTTTACAAGTATTTTGTTTTGTTGAATTGTCCGCTACATAAAGATACAATATTTGTCTTTATCATTCTGATTTGTTTTATTATCCATAATTCACTTGAACGCCTTCCATTTTTCTGTAAGCAATAACATTTCATCTTTCCCTGTGGCTGATTAATGTTCCATTCTGGTTCCATTCTTAGTTTTTTTTTTTTTAATTTTTTATTTATGTTTGCATAGAAGAATTGGAGTTTAGGCCAGAAGTGCAGGGGTGAGAGGATTCACCAGAGACAGAGTGGGGAACAGAACAGGCAGATCTACTGAAATACACTGCTGAGGGGAGCAGCAGGTGAGACAGGAGAGGTCTGCTATGCCGTATGGGTCAGCTCCCTGACCAGGGATCGAACTCAGGCAGTAGCAGTGAGAGTGCTGAAACCTAATCCCTAGGCCACCAGGGAGGCCCCCATTTTTAGTTTTTTAAGGTAAGTCAGATTGCTTTCCACAATGGCTGCACCAGTTTACATGCCCACCAACAATGCCACAAGGTAACTTTCTCTGCATCCTCTCCAGTGCTTGCTGTTGGGGAATCTTTTTAATGTGTGCCATTTTCACAAGGGTATAAAATGATATCTCACTGTGGTTTTAATTTGCATCTCTCTTACTGGAAGTGATGATGAACATTTTTCCATGTATCTATTGGCCTTTTGAATATCCTCTTTGCTGAATTGTTTGTGCACATCCACTGCCCATTGATTAAACTAGGTCATTTGTTTTTCTGTTGTTGAACTCTGTATTTTTTATATCTTAGACATTGGTCCCTCATCACTTATGTAATGTGTAGATATTTTCTCCCATCAGAATACAATCTAATTGTATTTTCTTTTGCTGTATATAAGCAGGGATCTTTAAAAATCTCATTAATTAAATCTCATTAATTAAATGAGAAAACAGGGAGGCAAAAAAAACAGATGAAAACAGGGAGGCAAAAAGAAGTTACAAGCCATGTCCAAAGAGTCCTGGCAGTGGCAAGTGGTGGATACAAGTTTCAAACCCTGGCATTCTGACTCTAGAACCTGCTTTGCTGCCATTATGAAATGCCTTGGGGCCCTTGTCCTGATTCACTTTGGGGTCTTTTCCCCATGAGATGGGTTCTGAGCTTGGATTCTTCTGTGGAGTGGCTCAGACACGAGCTGAGGCTGGGCTCACACCCACTGTGAACTGGGTCCATGGCCCAGGACACAAGTTGTCTGGATCATAGGAAAGAAAAACGTTCCTCTGTGAAACCATTCCCACCGTGGCACCCACAGCGATATCCAGCAGAGAGCAGGGCCAGCCAGTCATCCATCACCCACCCAAAAGGTGCCTTCGGTTTCTGATCCTAGTAATTGAGGACATGTGTTACTTTCCATCAGTCCTGCTGGGAAATGGCTAGTGGTTCTTCCCCTCCAGAGCTCGGGAAATGAGAGGGAAGAGGAGGGGGAAGGGTGGAGGCCGAACATTTTCATTTACTTATGTTAACAACTGAATGATTAAGGGTAAGAAGGGAATGGCAATAGAATATAAAAATGCTTTTGTAAGGTTCCCATTTACTCACACTTTTAACTCCACTGTGGCTTATTAGTTCATGGGAAAAATGACAAAAAGAAATAAAACCTGACTATGAATCCAGCATCAACAATTTGCAGCCATAGTAACCAAGAAAATGCAATTCATGAAATGAAAAAAGAAAAGCATGTGTTAGGAGGAGGTCAGGAAATGGTTACTGAGCAAAGCAGCCGGTAACCCCTGGTGGTTAAGCAGGGCAGCTCTGGACAGGCCATGTAGCCACCCTGGCTGAGATGTACATCAGGAATTGGTAAAGACGCTCCAGTCCTTATTTGATAGGGTTTCCAACGCGGCTGTAAAAATTCACTCAAGGATAAAACGATACATAAAAGCTCTGCTTAACAAGGGTTTCTTGGTCTTTTTTTTTTTTTTTTTTTTGGTTGAAATCAAATTTGGTTTGCATTAGTTCAGCCCAGCTCCATTGCAGAAAGACAATTGGGTGTTTGGCTTTCCATGTGTTTCCACAGCTAGAGCTGGAATGCCTTGGAGCTGCCTTGTGAACACAGTTCTGGATAAAGCACAGTGGCCTGGGACTCAGAACCATGCCCCACCCTCTACGCCTATGGAACATCAGTCATTGGTTTCCTATTTGTGCAGTCAGTCCCAGTCCCAGCCATGGCTACCTCCAGGGCCCTGGAGGGAAATCCAAGCAAGTGCTGGTGATTTGGTAGGTCTTAGGGCAAACACACAGCTGGGAGTTATAGGCAACTTAGGAACCATTCAATTATCAAATTTGGGCCTAGAAGCATCTTAAAGGGTGATCAAGTCCAAGGAGTCAAATGTTGTTTGAATTCTTAATTCCCCCAACCTTTGTGCCAAAGAGGAGATACAGCCCATGCTCAGAGCCCACCCTCGAGAAGGATGGGGTCTTCCTTCTCATCTTGAGGCCATCTGTATAGTTTCCACTGCAAAAGCATCTTAAATTGAGTAGAAATATTTCCCCATGTAAATTACCACCCATGGCTCCTTAAAGCAAGTCAAATATGCATATATTTGAGAATGAATGGCTACTTTGTTCTCAGAAGACTTCTCCAGTCTAAATATAAAGAGTTCTTGATTGAGTTCTGCATTTAGCTCTTCTCCTCTTAGTACCAACAGAACTCTTTTTTTTAATTTTATATATTTTTTACATCATTTTTCATTTTTGCACAATGTATGCATTTTCATCCTGGTTATATTCCCCATAAAATTCCCACCCCCTTTATTTTGACCCTAATCCTCCCTCCCTTACCCCCCGCCCCCATAGTCTATCTTTGGTTTATAGTTGCGTGTTGATTTTGATTTTTACTTTATTATAATTAGTCTTTTTCCTGGTCCCTAATTTAGGTTTTCTAAATTCCTGCTATGAGTGAGTCTATCTGGTATTTTTCTTTTTCTTTCTGGCTTATTTCGCTGAGCATGATCCCTTCCAGCTCCATCCATGTTGCTGCAAATTGCATGTGTTTATCTTTTTTGATTGCTGAGTAATAGTCTATTGTGTATATGTACCATAGCTCCTTGATCCAGTCATCTATTTTTAGGCATTTGGGTTGTTTCCATAGCTTAGAAGCTATTGTAAATAGTGCTGCTATGAACATAGGTATGCAGGTGCCCTTTGGAGTTAATGGTTCTGTGTCCTTTGGGTAAATACCTAGGAGTAAAATTGCTGGGTCATATGGAAGCTCCATCTTTAGCAGGTTGAGGAATCTCCACACAGCTTTCCATAAAGCAAAGTTCCTCAGATGAGCACGATATTCAATGAATATTCTGTCCAGAGAAGGGAAATAGCACCATTATTATCTCCATCATTCTGAGAGTTGACTTCTATTAACATGGCCACATATTTACATGTTTCTAATAGCCTTATGTTATACCCAATGAATTTACTTTCCAATAAAATTTGTGTGATAGGTAAGCTAATGCTACTTCTGGTCATCACTTGCCAACCCTGCTCTGCTCCCCAGACATGTGGAGAACTACCTATCCTCACACCCAGAAGTTAGCTATGACCATGTGACCTGATTTGGCCAATGAAAAATGAGCAGAGGTCCCCTGTGTCAATTTAGGGTTGAGGCACCTAAGTATCCATTCTTGACTTCCCAGCCATTCTTGCCCATCACTTTAAATTGTCAATGCATGTGACTGGGAAGTGTCATGGACTGAATCAAGCTAGAATACTGAGCCAACATACGGAGACCAGCTGCCCTGGCACATTGCCTAGACATGCAGCAAATTTGCTTGAGTAAAAAATAACTTTTGTTGCGTTATGCACAAGATTGGGGATTATTTGTTATTGCAGTATAAACTAAACATTCCTGATTCAATGTATAACTTTTTTGTAAGTAGAATCAGATTACCCATACCACCTTTTTACATTTTAATAATTCGCTTTAGATCTTATTCAGGGTGTTATATTTGCTTTTGTCGTGAAAATTAGTTTGAACCATTTTAGTTCAATGGCCAGTTCTATTATAATTTTTTGTGTTTTGTTTGATCCCATCAAAGGTATTCACTCTTCCCATCACCTCCCTTATGTTGAAACTCTGAGAAAAATATATTTAAAGACTGGAAAGATGGCATTTCTGATGATGAGCTCTTAGCTCACTACCCTTTCTTCTCACAGTAATGAGAATGAACTGTTTATTCTCAACAGTTCTAGGCTTTTATTTAACAAGTGTAGAAGTTTAAAAAAAAATTGGTAATCTTGTTTTTATTAACTTGATGAGTTCTCAGTTCCTGTAATAAAAACAAGACATATCTATGGGGAAAATACACACTTGTTTCACTGTACTCAATTACAAAATCACTCTGTCGAGTGTTTTGTGAGGATTCTAATGATAAATACAATTAATACTAGTCATGCAGAGTCTAAAGCATAGATGAGAAAAATCTAGACTGAAATCAGAGTGCTTACATGGAAGGATAACTCCAGCAACCTCACTGTGGCTGCACTGTGGCCAAGCCCCCAGTGACCATTCCCCCAATATCTTTCATGTTAACCAAATCCTGATTTAGTTTAGATGTCAGGAGTGCATGGGCTTTAGGAAGTATAAAAATCTCCTTTCCCCAAGACTAGTTATGGGAATATTTTCCTTTGTCAGCCATTGATTTGAGATGAAGGTAAAGACTGCAGAATAGCTTCTGGGAATATTTTTCTCACCCTTAAATGGAACACAAGGAAGAAAAATTCTCTCTTTAAACCTTAAGTATAGATGTGTGAGATAGGATGCGAACAGCTGCCTCCTCCATCTCTCACCATTAGAGAACAACAATGGGATTCAAAACTCATACTGTGGCATGAGTTCGATCCCCAGTCAGGAGCTAACCCACATGGCACAGCAGACCTCCTATCTCACCCACTGCTCCCCTCAGCAGTGTGCTTCAGTCAGTCTGCTTATGCTGCTCCCCACTCTGTCTCTGGTGAATT